TGAAATGGGAGACCGTGTTAAAGAATAATTGCTGAAAAAAAACATATTACGACGAATTGAGAAATTCCACCTTTTTTGAAGTCTGTTAAAAACATGTAGTAAATAGATTAATAAGTATGCAACAGAAATTCAATGTAGCTCGTAAGTATTAAAAATTACTAAAAACTGGGCAATTTTAAACTTTAACACATCCTTATATCGAAAACTAGTCATAGAATTAAACAATTTCGTTTTAAACTACACTGCTTCATAGCAAACTGTATAAAGCATAAAATATTTGACGTATTTTAAAAAGATTCTGACAAAAAAATATCGTCCGAATAGTTTCCGACACTCCGACAGTCGTGCTAAGCTATTTCCATTTATTGAAATGTTATTATGAGTCAACCATGGACTTATTTAAAAAAAAAGAAATTACATTAAATAATATACCTAGAGCAAAAATTAGTTCATTAAAATATTAAAATTTAAGGAACAAAAACGGGCAAGAAATTCAAAAATTGAAAAAAAGTTTAATAATTTTTACCCAACGTTAAAAAATAACAAAGCGTTAGCACATTTTGTACAGTAAATTTTAACAACGCCATTTGCAAAAAAACTTACCTTGGGTACTAGGTAAATAATTTGATTTCTATTTGTAACACAAAAGAAATCAAATCAGGATGTTATTTCTTGTAAATGTTTTTAAATAACTCACTATTCACTATAAGTTTTATTTTTATTGGCCGATTGAATATAGGTACGTAGAATAGCTTCATAGTCTGATAAAAAACTATATGAAAACACTTGCAAAAATATTCCTAATAAATGTCATGAGTAGTAGGTACAAATCAAATAAGGCTAGTACTACATTAGGCAAAAGTTCTGTCGCCGAAAATGAGTTGCGCAAATCGTTGCGCAGCGTGTAATAAATTCAAATGCCAGGACGTTTCAAGGGATGTTCAGCTCAATGTTGCGAGTTCACGAATAGCTCGTAAGAAATTAGAGGAAATTAAAATTTGTATGAGACGTTCTGATGCTGAAAGTCAGTGGCTCAACTTTTGCCTAATATAACTAGCCTTAAAGACAAAGTTTATACGGGATGTCCTAGTTTATTTTGAGGAAATATTAAAATATATTTTTATTTTAAATTTAAATACAATTTTGGTTTCATGATACTTTCCAGACTTGCTAATTACGTTATCTCTAGTATATTGAAATAACTTGCCTTTTGTAAGTTTGTAATTAAAATTAGATAAGGAAATTACGTTTCTTTCATTTGTTAATTTAATATACAAAGTAAACCAAAATTACCTCGAGCAATTAGGCATTCCAAGGACCTGTCAAACAATAGCTGCCAGTGGAAAGGGCTCGTATATTTAAGGGAGTTGCGAAATAGCCTTCCAGCATTTTTATTTGAAATTATAGTCGCCAAGGCTGCCAATTTATGAAAAATGTATAAGCGGATTTTAAAAAATATTTTAATGGACCTTCTCCATAGCTCTTAGAAACATTAGATACAGCATCGAAAACAAATTTTGACCCCCTACATGCTGGGCGCCATGATAACTGAATTTAAAGGTGGCATTACTGACAAGACAGGATCGGCGTAAGGTTACTGTAAAAGATAAAGTATTTTTTTAGTAACTTTCCATGTGAAACTTTTTACAAATATATTTGTCTGGTTAATAAATAATTTTTTTATGGTTTATTGTAACCATACCGAACCCGAGGGTTGAGTGCCTACCGGGCGCGTCTCCGGGTGGTGGATAGGAGGACGGTCAGAGTATCTGGCTAGTGGCAGCTATAAGTAGGGTGAGGGGACTTAAAAACCCCCAAAATCCTTTACAAAAACTGTCGCCGCGAACCAACTCCCCAAGTTAAGGCGTAACGCGACCCGTGCCGAGAACTGAATGATACCTGGGTCAAGGTATTGCAAACGGAGCCTCTGGGACATCAGGTCATCTCCCAGAGTATCACGACCTTACTGCGGCATGCGGGACTCTGCCGTAGCAGACTGTTTTCCCCAGCTACTCGTGGGATCATATATGAATTCTAAAAACAATCAAAATAGCGAAATGCAACATCATCAACCTCGAAAGGGGATACGACGAAGGCAACGTCTCTGGCAAAGGCTGAAAAGCTAGCAAAGAGGCGTAAAGTCATCGTCTCCTCTCTGGAAGAGGTAGACCAAATGCCCGAGGACGAGGTACAGTCTGCTCGTCTAGGTGGACACTCAAGAACGAGGCTAAAGGAGCTCTTGAAAACTGGCCTTGATTACACAGCCGCAAAAAGGCAGGTGATCAAGGAAAATTTTCAAAGAGCCCAAACAAAGCCCCAAAAGCCTCAGAGGCTAGAGCGTCAAGAAAAGGCGAAAGAAGCTGCCAAGCAAGGCACAAAAGTTCAAAAACGCCCAAGGTCGACAGACGCAACGAAGTTTCGTTCAAAGAGGCCCTTACCTCAGTGAAGACTCGATCTCCGAGGCCCACGACAAAATCCTCACAGAGGGAACACAGGTAAGGTTCGCCAAGTGCAGCCACAAGCCAGGTCGTGACTTGCGCGGGCCGAACCAGTGCAGACTGGTTGCGGGACATCGTCACAACCATCCAACCTTGGGAAGGGGCAAACCTGAAAGCGTTGGAGGGTAACGATGTCCCTAGGCCACTAGCCTGCACAACATTCGTCCCCGACGAAAGAGGACAAAGGCCCGAAGGGGATAAAATCCTCAAAAGGCTAAAAATAGCCAATCGTGGGCTAAATACACACCTTTGGACGGTGTAGGGTAAAACCCCATCGGCAAAAGGTCAAACTTTGGGCTTTTTCGATGGATCCTGAATCCTTAGAGGAGCTAAAAAAGCTGGACATGTCCCCCTACTATGACCTAGGAACACTTAAATTCAGAGTCAAAGGAGGACATGATCCAGAACCCGCCGAAAAGGTGAATAACCCAGGCACAAGTAGGGAAGAGGAAACCAAAGAGTCCTCTACAGAGGAAGAAACCCTGGCAGAGGACGACTGGGTGAAGTCTTCCCACAGCAGGGACGAGGACACCAACGAGTCCTCTTCAGAGGAAGAAACCTTGGTAGAGGACGACGAGGTGGAGTCTTTCTACAATGGGGTCAGTCCCCTCAAGAGGTGACTGTACCTATGGAAATTTGAGAGGCCTCTAAGAAGACAGGCAAACGGCCCAGTTCACAGTACTGAGCAGATCGATCAGGGTTCTTCAGGTGAACCTCCATCATCCCAAGGCGGCCACCGCTACAGTATGTAGGAGGTTCGACAAAGAGGGTCTAGATTTGGCCCTCTTGCAAGAACCCTGGTTACACGGCGGGAGGGTAGCAGGCCTAAAACCCAACCAAGGTAAGATTTTGTATAACGAAAGGTCTAAAAGACCTCGAGCATGTATCTTATATAACAATAGGGTAAATTGTGTACTAATACCGGTGCTGTGCACCGCTGATATTGTTACAGCTCTCCTAAGTACGCCGACAGAGGAAGGAACAAAAAGATGGCTAGTTTGTTCTGCATATTTTCCAGGCGAGGATCTATGTCCCCCGCATATAATAGGCGAAATAGTCTCAATGCGGCAAGGGCTAACTTGCCACTCATTATTATAGGATGCGATGCCAATGCCCATCATACCATCTGGGGAAGCACTGACATCAATAGAAGAGGCGAGTCTTTATTACAATTCATCTTATCTGAAGGTCTAATAATTGCTAATACAGTGCAACCTCGATAATCCGAACCAACGCTAATCCGAACGCAAATCGTGATGCGAGATAGTCCGAACGCCGCGTCCGTATTCCGGACGCTGACAGGAAAAGATCTGCAGCGCGGCCCGCATCGCCCATATGTAGTTTGACAATGCATTTAAATGTACAAAAATCAATATACATACATAGATCTAAAGGTCTAAAAATGTGTAAGAGGTGTTTTATTGTATATTCGTTAATCCGAACAAGGTCTGACAATTAGGTGTTCGGATTAAAGAGGTTGCACTGTATAGTAACAAACCAACTTTCGTCACGGCAACGAGAAAAGCAGTCCTAGATATGACTCTGTGCTCGAGTAAAGTTAGTGATAACATTTCAAAGTGGCATGTGTCAGACGAACCATCGTGCTCAGACCACAGACAAATTAGATTTGATCTAATTATACCACCTCGAATTTCAACCGAACACAAACCCTAGAGAGACGAACTAGGAAAGGTATTCAACATCACTTGGAGAGTATCTCGAAGAGGGTATGGTGGAAATAACTGGTGAACAAAGCAGTAGACCAAGTAAGTAAGGCCATTATAACCGATTACGAGGAAAACTGTCCGGAGAAAACAAAGCAGCCAAGAACAAAAACAGTCTGGTAGAACAAACACTTGGAACGCCTCAGAGGCGAAGTGCAAAGGCTATTTAATAAAGCCAAGTCAACCGAAGACTGGGCCCTATATAAGGCTAAACTCACGCAGTACAACAAGGAGATAAGAAAGGCTAAAAGGCAATCGTGGAGGAAGTTATGTGAGGAGTTATCTGAAACACCCACATGCTCTAGAATCCACAAAGTACAGGCTAAAGAGGATACTGCAAACCAAGTAGGATTTCTCAGGAAAGATGATGAAACCTATACAAAAACCTTCGAGGAAACGTTAACAATGTTCACAGAAGGCGGAAATGACACTAAAACAATAAATGTTAAGGAAGAAAAAGTCCACTGTTCAAAATAAGAGTAAACTAACTGTAAAGGTGATCTTTGTCTATTGAAAATAAAATTTGCTCTCGATTTTCATTCAAAATAGCTGTGTTAGTAAGATTTCAGGTTTATATTAATGTTTTGAAGCATTTTGCAGTTCGTGACTCAAAGGGTTAAATCTGATTTGGCCTGTTCATAAGGATCCCCCCTTGAGCTTTTCTAAATAAAGAAAAAGTATCATTTTTTCTTTTATTGATAATACCCATTCATAAAAATTGGAAAGAAAATACATAAATGAATTATTTATATAAAGCTAAAAAAAGAATCAATACTTCAAACACACTTATTTTAATTCTCAACTGAATAGAAAATGAATAACAAAATAACTCTTATCTAATGAGTATGTGCTTTGAATTCCTGCACAACATCATGTAAATATTCCAATAATTGTTTAATGTTGTCCTCTGGTTTAAGTCCTGGATTGTATGGATATTTGTCGACAACCTGGTTACAAGATTTTGTTTCTGGACAATACACCGAAGTTAATATAACTAAAGGTTTTTCTATAGGAAACTTTGTACCTAAAATAAAGTTCAAATAATTAAAAAACACAAACCTTCCAAAGTCTAATCTTTATCGAACAAGTTAATTCTACATGGTGTCTCCGAAAATAATGCTTTATAGAAGCTTTATAAATAATAACTTATTTAAAAAAATCATCTGAGAAAAGGTCTGATGATATCACAAATAATGATTCTGTGTAAAAGAAAAACATAACATATATTTGTTACCTCAGTTCAAAAAGGAAATAATTCAAAATTTGTCAAAAAGGAGAAATTTCTACAAAATTAATAAAAATATTGAATAAGGTCCAGTTCAGAAGAAAAACAACGTAGAAGTGTCAAACAATTCAAATATTTATTAAATCATTTGCGATGTTCTGCCTTGAAATGATTTTGTCAATAACAAAACAGAGTTAAACTCCTTGCCACAATGGATAATGCCATGCGGCTAATACGTTGTTAGAAAAGTTAGTGAACCTTTGTGCAGTTTTGTTGAATTTACTTGTTTTTATTTTCTAATGACTAATTTGTGCCCTGCTTGAAATAGTCTGATCTGATTGGCCATCCATCCATTCAGAGCTGCAGCCAATGCTGGTTCTCCGCTCTGACGGCCAGCCTCCCGTTTAGTTTATGGACCCATTAGATTTTATATATCCAATCGGTTCGTAGAAGACCTTTAGTAATGTCTTTTGATATAGTTGAATACAAAGAAGCAAAAAAATGTCCTTTATTTCTCACAAAGTCAATTTATTGGCGACCGGTTTCGATGTGATTACTTCATCATCAGGCACACCTAAATGAAAAGGCATGAAGTCAATGTGTTGAGAGGTGAAAATTATTTAATACAAAAATGAAAATTGAACAAAAAAATTTAAAACAAAGAACAAAAAGGGAGGTTAGTAATAATTTGACTTACCATTATGGATGAGCTACGTATTTTAACATAAAAGTTAAAAAGTCACTGTTAATATACAGGGTGTACCAATAAAAACTCCCACACCGGATATTTTGGTAAGAAATAAGAGATATTTTAATACTGTAAAAGCCAGTTCACAGAGCACTAAGACAGCTTCAGTTTTAGATATAAATTGATTTTTAATAGGCCCTTACGTAGATGGCGCTGCGCTCAATATATATATTTTTTTTTTTCGATGGCAGGATCTTTCTCATGCATTCTTGTAAAAAATGCATTTTAAGCAGATTTTTTCTATGAACTAATTCGATAAATCTAACAATTTTTAAGGCTGGGCCACTCAAAACAGATTCACCTCATTATTTGGCATTATTCATTCTCCAACCCCTTAATTTTAAATCACTGAAAAGGTTATTTTATGGGGGATTTAGAAATATAACTGTTCATTGCATTACTTTTATTTTTAGCGCCTTTTGGTGAGATAAAAAAACTATTACGTATTATAAAGTGTGGCACTTCATTTGAAAGCTAATTTAATTAGTAATTCAATGCATCACATAACATTTATATAAATATATCCAAACTGCACTTGCAACAAAATAAAGTTAGCAATAATGTTAAAAATAGTGCATGACTAATTTTCAAATTGATGCAAGTGCAATATGGAGATATTTAAATTAATGTTATGTGGTGCATTGAATTAGTAATAAAATTAGCTTTCAGATGAAGTGTCACAATTTATAATAAATAACATTTTATACGTTAGAGGGAGCTAAAATTAAAAGTAACCCAATAAACAATCGTATTTCTGAATCCCCATAAAATTACCTTTTCAATGATGTGCTATACATGGTACATTCCCTATTTAAAATTAAAGGGTTGGAGAAGTGGAAGGGAGGGGGTTGACACATAACAGATGTCTGTACAGTAAAAATATGTTCAATTTGGAATAAAAATCGAACTGTTTTTGTATTTTTTTCAAATCCAATGCCAAATAACAGGGTGAAACTGTTTTAAGTAGCCCACTCTGTATATCGAAAATGGCTGGATTTATTTAGTCCATAAAACAAAATCTGCTTAAAAATACATCCACCTATCGAAAAAAAATATTGAGAGGAGCGCCATCTACATATTGAACTATTTAAAATCAATTTAGATATAAAACTGCGGCTCTCTTAGTGATCTGTGAACTGTCTGTTACAGAATTAAAATATCTCTATTTCTTACCAAAATATCTGGCCTGGGAGTTTATATTGGTATAAAAAATTATGTCAGAGATTTTATTTTTATTTTAACGGTTAAAAACCAAAGCAAACTAGAGGTACCTACTTAAGGTTGGAGGAACCAAAAACAATATTTGAATTTACATAAAACAATAACAAAACAAGTTATGAATAAACATTTCAAAATTTTTATAAAATCAGGACTGGACAAATTAAAAATTAAAATGAGTGGAACTAATGAATCAAGTTTTTATAGAGATAAGATAGTAAACGGTAAAACCATTAACCTTATCCTTTCTCAAATACGTTACCAACTAGAAGGTATCTTCAATCTAGTGTAGATATTTACTTGATGTTTACTGAAAGTAAGTATAAATGGCTTAAAGAAAATAAAAAATCCATTGTTAAACTTTTATAAAATGAAATTATAAAATTATATGTAGTAAAGAGAAAATAAACACCAAATTAGAGCGTAATTGTTCTATATTTCAATTTGTGTTATAGACACGAAAACAAGTTTCAAATAAAAGTTATATGGATTTCAAAAATAGGTATTTTAAAAATATTTATTTCCGTTTTAGAATGCTTTGGTAATACTGTATTTAAACATACAATTTTATTAACAAATATTGCACGGTTGCCAAGCAATTAATTTTTTTATGAAATTAGAGAATGATGCAGACCACAAATTAAATTATCAAAATTTAGATAGGTTTACAATTCAAAATTGTACAATATACAGACATAAAATACTAAGCTAACGAATAGTGCTGATAGAACTGGAATATTTTATACAGTGTTTTGAAACAAATCCTAAATATGGCTAATTTCAAGTTAAATTTACACAATTTTTTTAGCATACAATTTCTTATAAATTTACCTATTCAACGATACCAACATCTTAGCCAATAACACATATATAGGGTGTCCCATGGGTGCGTAATTGATCGATAGCAGTTTTATTATAGGAAAAGATCAAAATTTCGTGCACGTGGCTGAGTTACTAGAGCAAGAAAATACCATAAAACATATTTCTTTCACGAAATAATTATCATTAAAACACTTAACTCGCTTATCTTGTTAGTTTCGATGTTAAGACCGATTTCGACAATATTTTGATACACAAAGCTTTCAAGGCACATAATAAATAAAAAAATTGAGTAAATTGAACTTAAAAGTAGCCATATTTAAGACATGTTTTAAAACACTGGGTATAAAAGAATCCAGCAATATCACCACTATTCGTTATCTTAATGTGCTATAAGTCTGTATATTAAACAATTTGAAAATCAATGTAATCCTACATAAATTATGGCTTTTTTACCGATTCTGACAATTATGACGACATTAGAATTCGCAATCCAAAAATATACAAACGGCGAATCCATTATTTTGATATTTGGTCAGATTATGAATTTTTTTTATAGGTGTCGCTCGAGTATTGATTTGAAAAATACCCAATAAAATTTAAAAATATTTTGGCGGGATACTTGGAAAAATATGTAGAATGAAATCTCCTACTTTTTAGCTCTGGTTTTAAAATCACTTTCTGTGATTTTTTTTTAAATTCAGTAAATAAACAGTTCAAATAAAATTTAGGAGCTTTCATTCTCCAAACCTTATACTTTAAGCTGGTAGAAGATTCATTTTAATACATTTAGCGGAATTTAAATGGAATCGGAAATGGTGAACCCTTGCTTCTTATAGGAAAAATACAGTGAAACTGCGGCCTTAAGTAGGCACCTCTAGTTTGGTTTGGCTTTTTAACGGTTAACATAAAAATAAAATCTCTCTGACATAATGTTTTATATTCACAGTGACTTTTTAAATTTGTATGTTAAAGTTACGTAGCTTATCCGTAATAGATATATCATGGTAAGTCAAATTATTATTAACCTCCCCTTTCTTTGTTTTAATTTTTTTTGTATTAAATAATTTTCACCTTTCAATACATTGACTCCATGACTTTCCATCCTGATAATGAAGTAATCACTTTGAAACCGGACGCCAATAAATTGACTTTGTGGGAAATAGAGGATCTTCCTTTACATCTTCATACTCAATCCCAACCACTCATATATGGCTACCCTCGCCACTAATCTTTTGTTATAGTAGGATGTCATATGTTGGTCTGTATTTTCGCTTTTTTGTTATTGTCATGTCATGTAGCCTGTTATGCATTCTATCAGTACTGTTGTGGCATGGTATATTGAAAATGTCTCCCTTTATGTGGTTAGGAGACAGTTTTTGTATAATTTATCTGCTAGAGGGATTTCTGTACATCTGTGGCATCCCAGTGCCGTCCTTAATTACCTATTTTAAAAGAAGTGTCTTCACATAATAAAATCGATATTTCCTTTTAGAACTCACAAAATTATCTCCACATCTTCATTCAAAACAGAAATAACTAAATGTTTCAAAAATCGCTTAAAATACTGATTTTGCACACTTAATACAAAAATAATTGAATAATAAAATATTTTCTGTAATTTTGATTTAGACAAATATACCTACTAATTTATAACTTTTCAGAAAAAAAAATATATTTACCTATGTTAACAGTAACCAAACAGTTGTAGTCGTCTATAGCATACATAAAAACAACTTTACTGAAAGTGAGTACATCATATTCAATAATGTTCCTAAAACATGAACTTGTTATGTTCAGTACATAACTCTTCTTCGTTCTATAGTGATTGGCGATTTGTTGAAGTCTATTTTCAAGGCTCCTCTTAACGGTAAACACTATATCTGTCAGTGAAGTGTCTTTTTTAAAATCATTAGCTGGAACTTTAAAATTTCCTAAAATTTGTTCCAGTCTTGGTGATAGATTTAAGGAATAGTTGGATTGGGCATTTTCTAACTTTGATACAGAGATTTTTAAGTGACAGAAGTCATTGCCTTGGTTGTATAATATATGTTCAGAAAGATTACTTCCTTTGTAATGCCTACAATAAATTTCATATTTGATCTTATATCATTTTCATGAACAGTAAGTAGATACAATAACTAAGTACTAATAAGCAGTTTTGCAAGTAATTGGTGCAACAAACTTCAAGGGGAGATAATACACCAAAAATTTGAAAAAGAAAAAATCCTAAAAACCAAAGACATTAGAATATAGAGACAAAATGTTTCATTCATAAATTCCATACAATTGCGGACTATTATTGTTTTAAAATTGTTAGTAAGTTGGAGAGAGAAAGACAGATCTCTTTGGACCGGCTGGCAACGTTGCAAACAGTGTCCATAACATACTCGCCAGTGGCGTAGAGTTTTAAACTTACCAGTATTGTCAGAGTAGTATGTTAAAAAAAATACGTAAATAAGTATTTTTTTTTATTAATATAATTATGATGATTTTTTCATGTAGGTAAATTCAAGTACAAGTAAATTCAAATACAAGAGAATTCAAGTTACCTTCCGATTTTTAATATTTATTGATTTATACATAATTTATTGGCATTTACTATATATTTGCCTGGTATGATGTTAACCAAAATTATTTAAAATTTTATATTAACATTAAGTAGGTAGGGGTATCTAAATAAAACACAGTCCTAAAAGTATATAATTTTTTAATTAATAATTACAAAAAATCATAGTATGGCAAAAAATATCGTAAAAAAACTGTAACAATTTTTAAAATATTGTTTTAAATATATTAAATACCTTAATTTTATTAACTAAAATTTCATTTAATTTTTTATGCTTAGTTATTAGCGTTATTACTTACTGCAATGTTTTTTTTGCAGCAGGTGGTGTTCCAAAAACAGTTGAATCAGAACTAAAAACCCATACATTAGATATACATAGATATAGGTAATAAATAATGTTTAGAGGTAAACAAAAAATTAATATTTTGTATTTTTTACCTGTTGGATAATTCATATAAAAATAGAAAGCCCTCCACCGTCTGGGGTTTGCATCTTTTCTGATATATTTAGCACCATTTGCACGTACCAAAACATCTTCAGGAAAAAAGTGTTCTGAACACAACTCTGGGTTTTTACGAAGGGGCTGATTTTCAACGATCCCTACTAGAGAAAACCAAAGGTTTTTTTCTCAGGATCTTGCGGAAACCTAGATAGAATATTAAAAAATATGTATAGGTGCCTAATAGGTAAATCATTTTTAAGGTATTCTCCATTTTATGTTAAATTTTCTTTGCCACTATTCAATAATTATTTATTGGTATAAGAATAATTTACTAATTTATAAAAGGAATATCACTTTAAAGACTGTTTTAGACTACACAATTACAAGATTTTGATACAATTTCTTGTACAATTTAAATTGTATATTATCAAACCTACAGTAAATTGTCTGAAAATTTAGATTGGATAATCATTTTTCAAACAATTTACTATGTGATACTATACAATTTAAATTCTATAGGAAATTGTATCAAATCTTGTACAAGAAATTGTATAGTCAAAACAGTCTTAAGACGGATGCCCTACTCCACTTTATTGCACACTACACATGCATGTACCATAATTCTTTATATTTTTCACAAAAGTTCACAAAAATAGTATTTTATAAATGAATAAATCAATAAGTCACACAAAAACTGTCAGAAACACAAAATAGCTGTTAGACCCGATTGGCAACGTTGCGGCTGGTTACGGTAACTACATTTCATTTACAAAAATATGTACTAGTTGTAAATTCGTAAAATAAGATATTCAGCGTTGCCGTATTTACGGAGTTCTTTGCAACCCTAACATTTTGTTTAGATTAATATTGATTTTTAATTAAAAATTAGCTTATATTAAAACTTTAAAAAATAATTTGATTAAAAACATATTTTCTATTTATATAATATAAAATTATAGTTATAGGATACATCAAATTTTATTTTTTGAAAGTAATTTCTCCAAATAATTTTTACAAAGACGCAATAAACGAGAATCTGGTGGGAATAATGATTTGCCCCATAAAAATGTAAACAATTTGGTCTCTTAGTTATAATGTCTTTGCTAAAAAGTTTTTCGCACAAAGATCAGCTTTTTTTCACTGATAAATGATTGGCTTTGCATGAAGCAGTGGTGGAGATTTTAGGTTTTGTCCCTAATTTCTGCACCACTGGTAAAACATTGTTTATAGAATATTTTCAAAAACTTTTGATATTGTATAATGTAAATGTTTTAACAGTTTTAAAAAAAAATCTCAAATATCCATGTTTTTTACCATGAAACGTCTATTTTTTAAAAATTTGCTTTAAAAAAATTATCAATTTTTTGTGTAAACAAAACAATTTTTTCGGTAGCATAGAAATAAGGGATAAAAACCATTGTCTACCCTAAAATCGCCACCAGCCTGCATTTTAGAAGGTATGTTTAGATCTGTGAAGTTAGCACTGCCAAATGTAAATTTTCATAAAACAAAGCTGGTATTTGTTTGTCCCCGTTTATCCAACAAAAAGTTTCGTCCATCCGTCCGATGTCACGTTTTTTGTCCGCATGATAAGTTAAAAACAGAAAAAGATATCAATTTGAAAATGTCAGAAAAAATCAAACTCTATAAGGGGACGAAGCCTATTGATTTTGAAAAAAATCTGAATAAAAATTAGGGGGTTTAAGGGGGTTGAAACATTAAAAAAATTCCTAAATCAAAAACGAAAAATGATATTAACTTAATTTTTTTAGCAAAAATCAAGCTCTATAAGAGGAAGAATCCATTTGATTTTGAAAAAAAAAAATCTGATTAAAAATATGGGGGTAAAGGAGGGTTGAAATTAAAAAAATATATATAAATAAAAAAGAGATATCAGCATGAAATATTTTTAGCAAATATCAAGCTCTATAAGAGGAATAAAGCCCTTTGATTTAAAAACAAATCTTAATAAAAATGTGGGGTTAAGGGGGGTTGAAATAAAAAAAAATCATAAATCATAAATGAAAAGCGATATCAAGATGAAATTTTTAGTAAAAATGAAGCTCTATAAGAAGCTGAAGCCTATTGATTCTGAAAAAATCTTAATTAAAATGAAGGGTTAAGGGGGAGGGGAGATTTGAAATATTAAAAAAAATCCTAACTCAAACGAAAAAAGATCAACTTGAAAGTTTTAGCAAAAATCAAACTCTATAAGGAAGTTTATTGAATTTAAAAACATTTGTAAACAAAATGAAGGATTAAGTGGGTTGAAATAAACAAAAAGTAGAAATCAAACACCAAAAGCGATATCAACATTAAATTTTTAGTGAAAAATCAAGCTCTACAAGGGAATGAAGCCTATTGATTCTACAAAAAATCTGAATAAAAATGGGGGGATAAGTGAGTTGAAATATTGAAAAAAATCCTAATTCAGTAAAGAAAAATGATATTAACTTGAAATCTTGAAGAAAAATCAAGCTTTGTAAGGGGATAAAGCTTATTGATTCTGAAAAAAATCTGAATAATAATGAGGTGTTAAGGGGGGTTAATATATTTAATAAAATCTTAACTCAAAACGAAAAATAATATCAATTTGAAATTTTTAGCAAAAATAAATCTCTGTAAGAGGAAAAATTCCTTTAAATTTGAAAAAAAAAATCCTAATAAAAATGGGGAGGTTTAAGCGAGGTTGAAATTAAAAAAATATATCTCAAAAACGAAAAATAATATCAACTTAATTTTTTTTAGCAATAATCAAGTTCTATAAGAGAACAAAAACAATTGATACAAAAAAAATTTAACAAAAAAAAAATCAAACGCCAAAAACGATATTAACATGAAATTTTTAGTAAAAATCAAGTTCTATAGGGGAATCAAGCCTATTGATTCTGACAAAATCTGTATCAAAATTAGGGGATAAGGGAGGTTGAAACATTAAGAAAATCCTAACTTAGAAACAAAAAAACAATCTCAAATTGAAATATTCAGGAAAGGGGAATGAAACGTATTGATTCTGAATTTTTTTTATTGAAGATGGGGTTTAAAGGAGGGGTCTGTTAAACTGTGAGGAGTATAATATGGAATGCCAAGCATAGAGTATAATATAGAATGCCAAGCATTATATATCTTCATTCTAGTTTTCTTTTGTCCAAGCCTTATTTTCGATTATCCACCTAAAAGAAATTAGTTATTAACCAAATAAAGCACCCAAAATATAAACAATTATTAATGTAAGTTCTTCTAATAAAAAATTATTAAACGTAACTATTGCAATCAGGCTGTATTGAATTTGAATGAATTTTATTAAGGTTTTTAATTTTAATTTTTAATAACTTGGTTTTGGGGCGTGGTCAAACAAATACCAACTTCATTTTATAAAAATTCGCATTTGGCAGTGCTAACTTCACGGACCAGCAGTGTGTTTCTCATCTTTCAATAAAGCATATGTTGAAATGCCCATCTTCGTTTCACAGACTGCGATTCTTATGTAATGTCTCTCTCTATTCAACACATAATGTACTGAGTTCAGATATAAGAACCCCTGTGCTGATATATTTACAAAAAACTTTTTATACTTTTAAGTGTACCTAATGTCTACCCTTGAATTTTGTTGCACCAAATAAATGAAAAATTAATTTTAAATAAAAAGTAGGAAAAATAAAACTTACATTGGTTGTATGTACTGTGGCAAAGAAGAACAATCTACTTTTAGTACTATTAGAAAAGTAATAATGTTTCCTTCAATGTTAACTTGAATATTGTCAGCCTCTATGCCATCTTTTCCATTAATTAGTGTTTTATATTCATTGGAATATCGTGAATACATGTTTTCTAAGTTTAATTTTTCAATCTGAATAGAAAATATATTTATGTAAAAATTTGAATTTAAAAAGTCCAACAATTCTAATAAAATATATGGGATTTAATACATCTTTTTGATCCCCCTACCACTTCCTGAGTAGCTTAACAAGATACAATTTTGAAAAATATAGTGTATTTGGGGCTGAAATAGCCCCTAACAAAAGAATAACAAAAAACAACCATAAACTTTTTTTTTCAGAAAAGTGTTGACTATGAGAAATGATTGAATTTAGGATATTTACCAGGGGATTGTATACTAGGTAACTGATCAGATAATTCTACATATGTTACTAGGACTTTATTTTCAGCCACAACTGAGGTTATGCAAACTAGATGAAACACATAATAAGCCTTTTGATCTGAGTGGTAAATAAGTTAGGGCCAAAATAGATGAATTTAACTTTGAAAAATTACACTAGGTGTTGTCTAATCTATACAAAAACTTAAAACAACATAACACTAATAATTTTAGATATTATTTAGTGGTATTAGGGTATGTACCTTTATTGGAATTCCTAAAACTTCAGATGAGTTGAAATAAAATACATTATATCTCACTAAACACCATTTTTTTAAATTAAATTGTGTGAAAATACTCAAATATGCATAACAGGTGTGCAATGAACTCAGGAGAAATTCATTAAATGAACAAATTTTCACATACTGACCTTATAGTAGATTTTTATTAGCATTAACTCATTATTGTTTAAATTATTGAAAAAATAATTGTATTATATGTAAGGTCATTTGGCTAAATACTGATAAGACATTAAATTATGAAAGTTATATACAGAAGTACACTATCGGCTATTGAAAACTGTCCAATATGGTTTGCTAGTGTCGAAGTGAAAACTACAGAGACTTTGCATTAGATTGAGAAGGAAAGGAGTAATATCAAAAAAAGGAAAAATTATCTCTTTTCCTTTATGGTTTATTATTAATAATATAAATGTTGTCAGTTTACATCACACAGCATAGACAGACGGCATGATATACACACAGATGGTCAACAGTCACAATACACATACTGTGCATCAAGAATTATCCCCATGAAGCAAGGCGGCCGTTTACTAGAAACATTGTTATCTTAGTTTCCTGCTTGCAATAATGCTAACTCTCTGAAGTTTTTGCTTTGACGCTAGCAAACCGTATTAGAAGGTTTTCAGTGGCTGATACTGTATATTTATTTAATAAGGTAAGGATAGTTGGCTTTAAAATCTGTTCATGTTTTAACTCATATTTCAAGAAAACCACATATTAGATATATCATAAGAAATTGAAATGTTTTCATATACATACTTATACAGTGTATTATGTAATTTGAATAATTTTTACCTGGTAATTTTTGTACAGAATCAGAAACTCATTCAACACTTGTGCTAGAGATTTGGGATTTTTTATATTCCAATTTTTCCAACTCGGTACATTTTCTGATACTCTATCTACGTCAGGGTAACTCAAAAATTCTTCATCATTAAAGTCAAAATCGGGAGCAAAATTAAAATTCTCCGGATCAAAAATAACCTCCCATTTGAGTCTTTTTCCAGCATAAGGAACTTTCAATAAAAAATGAAAATTGCTTAGAATATCTTTATCTACGCTGTGATTATTCGTATTAAGTACGATATCTTCTAGATTTATGGGAAGGAAACCTTTAAAATTTAATATAAAAAGTGAATCATCCGATAATAGGATTATTGCATTTCCTTACCTATTGTGCTTCGTAAACATAATTCTTCTATGTTTTTCCTTAGACAAAGTGGAAAATTGCTCAAAACATTATCGGTATTATTTGATGAGTCACACATTTCTTAAAACATCTAAAAACTATCTAAAAAATAGTAAATCACTTCTCTTTTGCCTTGTAATCATACCCAATAACCACACAGCCAATAACGAATTATGATCATAACAAAATTGACAATTGACGCTTTCTGTAATGGAAATGGGGTGCGCACAGTGTTGCCATTTATCCTTAGAATATAAGTGTACTAGATGAGAATCTTATAATAAACCACACTGAAACGACTGAAACTGTGAAGAAATCATGAAATTATTGCATTTTCTTTATAAATAAAGTAATCTCAAACAGAAATTTTGGACACATTGCGTTAAAAAAAAGAGATAGATCCAAGTCTAGGCTCAAGTATATTTCTGTTGGTCTTCAGCCTTTATCAGTATGATATGCAGCAAGTTCAAGGAACATATTAGCACTTGCATAAACAAAATCTGAGATAAATCAAATGACATAATTCTGAAGACTCCGCTTTTTCGTCTATAGAATTTAAAAGTGGTTCTCTTCTTTTGTACTTACGACTTCAGAATCAGAATTCTATGCACAAAAGTCTATTTAGCTTAAAAAATACAGTATTCAATGAAAGTAACCCAGACAGCACACCAAATCCTTTGGATATCTACTGAACATCCCAATATCCACTGAATGTCCAGTCCATGTTAGATATCTATTTTATATCCATGAGATGTAATTTATAGACATGCAAATATCCATAAATAATAGTAATTATATAGCAAATTATTAAAAAATTACGCCATTGTGGCTAATATATAGTAGCGTTCAGATATTTAAAATTATTTTTTTTAAGGTGTATTCAATATCCCGTGAACATCCACTAAATATATCAAAGTCTAGGCGCGAACGCAAACCATCGTGGATATCCACTAGATGTTATTTGATTCTGCTTACTAAGTATATAGATGGCGATACCACTTTCGCATCTACTCATGCTTAACCCGCCGTAATTGAGTTCGATCGAAATTTGTGTCCTAATCAGACTCCATTAGAGACTGGAGTCGAGAATTTCCATTTATTGCTGAAGAGTCCTAATAAGGAGGACTTTCTCCTTAGTGGGCAAAATCAAAGGCAATAATCATTGGTTACTTATGAACCTCTACTAAAGATACCCATAAAATATTTTGCTGAATATCCGAATATCTTCTATATCCTGGGATTTAGACGGACATTTGGTTGGATATCCATATTGGATATATTGAATATCCACAAAATATATTATGTAGATATCTCTGGGATTTCTTGTATTTTCTGGAAGATACCCATTAGATATTTTGCTGAATATCCATTAGGATATCTTCTATATTCTGGATATAGACGGACATTTGGATATCCATATTAGATCCACGGAATATTTCTGATATCCTGTGTGGATATATTGGATATCCACAAAAGATATTCTGTGGATATCGATATAGAAGACAGATCATATATATTCTCAAACTCCGTCAACGGTCAACATTTATCCAGCTCATAAATTTGAATGAACGTTCTTGTAACCGGCTATTTCATTTATTATATATCATATCTATCCTAAATAAGGGTATGGTTCAAATTCCACTCGTACTGAACCGTTCTACACCCCATCAGGCTGATGGTACTCTTATTGTTGATATATTTAAGAATAGGCCTGATAGGCGATTCCTTCGAATTCTGGATATTGCACACCCAAATTGTACCATTATTCCGTTCTCATTTAAGGTTTTGGCATTGGTATAGTATGTCAGTATAGGAGTTTCGTCTTTCTCTTCACAATTTTCTACATCTAGTGGGTTGTCAGATATCTCCAAGAGATTTAGTTGTCTTCTAACACGGCCTCAGAGGGTTTTATATTACTGGAGTTCTTTTCTGCTATGGATTAGCACTTGGTTTTGTTTACTATTGGATGAATCACAAATTTTCGACTGCCTAAATTCCAGGATGGTCCAAATGGAGTTTACAGTATATGTTCCTTTAGCACGTTATTGAATTTGTATCATCAGGAGTGAGTGTTAATTTTGTGATAATGTATACTGTTTAAAATTATCGTACCACTCAATAGTTTGGGCTGGTAAAATCAAACCTTCGACTCCACTTTGCTTGTGTTGAAGTGAATATTAAAAACGGCGTTCGCATGTGCAGGAGAGGAAAGGCAGAATGACGTTGCTAGTTTCCGTTACCTTAACCCATCCTTGACCCCACCTGGAAATGACAGCGTTGATACCAGGTTACACATACTAAAGGTATGCTTACTTTCGATTCAAAATTCGTCCAAACCGCGCAATGACGTAATGCGGGACGAACTTTCAAGTTATTTTGACACTTTTCGATTGAATAATGTAAAATAAATTATGAATTTATTTGTTTTTGTGTTAGTAGTGACTATATTTTCCTATATATAACAGGGAAGAACTAAATTAATGTTTAAAATGCGCGGTGGAGATATTTCCGAATGCCACAAAATATTGGTAAATTCTTATCGAAAAAAGGACAAACTTAATTGAAGTTGCCCTATCCACTTTGAGGAATGTAGTTGTGAGATTCCTCTTAAACATAGACGCAAGAAAAGGAAACTGAACTCCACCAGGTGCACGGGCCTCATTAAGCAAAGAAAATAAATCTGTATTTTAAAATTTTAGCAGATAAAACAGTATAGTTTCCTGTCCCAATACAACGGTCCTCTTGAAGTAATGCCATGCATGAGCAGGATACGAACATAAATAAGAATAAGATAAATGAATAGGAAAATTGGTTATGAGTATTTTCAAAGTGAACTTGACAAAACATGTTTAAATTTACCAAATAAAAAGTATTTTCTTTGTGTACTTAGTTTTATAAATAAATAATTTGTTTCTGTACACTTATTTTTATTTCACATAATAAGAAAAGAGATTGCAAGAGAACTACCACGCCCAGAAAGTACAAATTTGAGTTAAACTTATATTTTTAGTCTATATCTTTTACTTATCTTATGGCCAGGTCATGGATTTTGTCACAAAATACCTATAATTTATGAGAAAAATTAATATTTTTATTAGTATTATTTACCTTAAACCTTCATATTTGTAAACGAATATATTACAAAATAACCAATAAAGTTTAAGTAACTGCATAAAATCTAAAATAGGCAAAATATCGAATTTTAAACACTATCTCCCATTTAATTCTTATAATTCTATGTCCCACGTGACGTCACCGTCAGTCGATCAGCTGCATGCGCAGGAGCATACCGTTAATCTGTGTATCGTGGTTGATACTAAGAACTGCTAGTAATACAATCTTATGGAATTATCATTGGTTCAAAATGAATATACTACAAATAGATGTTTGGATACTGGGTAAAAATAACTTAAAACAGTCCAATACATTTCGACTCTTCCCTAGTGAAAGGATCTGACTATAAAGCAAACAATTCCAGTTGAATGTCTGCTCTGTTTAGGCGCTCAACAGAAATAGTAAGTGGCTGAGTAAAAACTGAAACTTTTTCTTTAATTTTCTTAAAGTCGCTATAAATCGGTTTTCGAATTCTTCTGCAATTGTATCAATATACCTATTTTATGAGTTAAACAGGAAACTTTCTCAAAACCCCTTCGTTTCTTCAAAGTGTTCTTTACGGCTTGGAAAAAATGAAAAATCATGTTTTTCTATTGAATACTTGAATAGCTTAATTTTATTTTTAAATTCTGTTATGTGACCATATAAATTGGAAATATTCGGCTGCTTGCGTAAAGCGAAGAAACGTTGCGAACCGTTTCGGAGGCTTAACCGACGGATATAGATTTGAAACTAACAAGTCCCCATATTATGTAGCATCTACGTCGGCCAAATATCAGGAAACTTTCTTTGAATCAAAGCACGATGCCCAATATATCTATCCATATCTGTGCCCAATATAATTATGTTCAAAAATGACAAGCATTTTTTAACATACTTCAGTTACTCTATAATCCACCCAGTATAAATAATATATAATAAACATAGGGACGACAAAATATTTTAATATTCATTCAGTACATGATCACCGAATTCAAAAATCTTTTCAAATCGGTTTTCGAATTCTAAGAAAAACATTTTGCACACCTGCATATTTATTTACTAGCATTTTAAGCGCCTAAAATATAGCTTTCTTGCTCATAGAAAATTTTTAGTAATTTAAATACGAGAGCTAACTCCCTAACATTCGCAAATCTGTCCTACTCGCGCTAACAAGTAGATTTTTAAAAACAAGCACATTTGTGCAGAAACAAGTACCTATACGCTATCTTTGTCTGCTTTAGTTAGATATAGCTATCACATCATGTTCCCTCAACCAATTCTAAAACAGTATCAACTCTCATGATCACGACAAGACACACAAGCTACTAGCCATTCTACAATTACATTCGACAAAACAGACTGAGAGACCAATTCCGACCGTAACACCTTTATTTTCATTTTTTGTTTTGTTACGTGCTCACCGCTCTTACATTTAAAACTCTTAAGAGATGTTAATCTGCATTAATGTCGTCAAGGTTTAAACACGTACATTTTTTTATGAACAGTTGTTATTGTAATTTGAAGCAAAGTTTATAGGGTTAATAAAATCGTTAGTAGAAGAACTCATTTTAATTTCATCATTACCAAATAAAGTGTCTGGCAATTAACTATTCAATTAAAATCACATTCTATAAGCTACAATTCTTACTACAGTCCATCTGCTTCCAGCTGATAGGAAAGAACCCTTATTTCAGTGACGAAGTTTAAAAAAGAAAAAGAAAACAACGTCGCATGAACGCAAGTTATTTTAGCAACCCTTTTTTAATCAGCATGACAATGTGTAACTCGAGCAGTTACTCTAAGATTTAATTGATACCTATTTATGGCCAGAGAAAACAGCAATTCTACGACTTCACTTTTCTCATCTTCATAGTCGTCTGTGCCTATTCAACAAATAGTTTATAGTATGTTTGCACAGATTGGATTACTGTATAAACAAGGAATTATAATTAATAGTAAAATATTACCTAATAAAAGGAATACAATTTGAAAAGATAACATGTAACATTCAACTAGAAATTCCCACCAATAAATATTTGTTGAGCGCATGACACATCCCAAACACCCTGCTATTTAGAAGGAAGTAAAGTTGTAACTAGAACGTAATTTCTGAACGGTTTGCAACTGATTTTGGGGTGTGACGTCAATTCTTACCTAACTTTCGGAACAATTTCTGAAACGTTCAGATGTGCCGGGCGAGGTTTCTAAACGCACTCGTGCCTTATTTGTTATGTAATGTGCCCCGTTAATTAATGATTATTAGAGAGATATTACCAAATTTCTGTAACGCCAGCCACTAATAGTGAAATCGTAACTAGAGTCAAATAAATTCCATGCTAAAATCAGACTTATTGCAAACCTGATGAAATGTTGACATTAGAATCCTTGTCCTTATACTTACGTCTAACCACATTTTAATAACTTTAAATTATAAT